CTTAGAAACCCAGGAAGGGAATGATGTGGAACTTAGAAAGCACAGCTAGATAACAGCCTATAACCGGGTAGAAACAGCGACAACTCTGTCCCCAAGATTAAAGCCTAAAACTAGCATCAAGTCCCCAGTGGGACAGTTGCCAGCTTCTCTCAGCTCCCCCTGCCTCTCACCACACGGAGGGGATGGGCAGAAGTGGGGAGTGTGATATCTACCATGGCTAGGCTTCTCTGGGCTTCATCCCAACCCAGCGAGCACAGGGAGCTCTATATCCTGCCAGCCCCACCCACTTCCTAGCCACAGTGAATCTATGAATTGTCAGACATCACTTGGAAAGGATCTCACCCTGAGAGGCCACACATGGTGGGTGAAGGGGGTGACACTTCCTATTGGCATCCCAAAGGCCCTGTGCTTCATATACAGACATAGCATTGGGGCATCTTTGGGCCATCCAATGATGTTCCTCCACCCCAGAGGTTTTGTGTTGGAATCCAGGTACCTAGAGTGGCACTTTGGGGTGATGCTGTGGAGCCTTTAAGTGAATGGGTTTAACAAGAGCCCTCAGGTCAACTGGGAATGTAGTCTTGAGAGAGATGGAGATATTTCTCTGTGGATTCCCACAAGAGGACCATGATGAAGATTGGGGCCAGCCCCTCCCACAGCCTTCTTACTTCCTGTTTGGCAATGTGACCTCACCAGAGCCCATACCACACTGTCTACACTGTTAGCCTCCAAAATGATGAGCTAAATATACCCCTTTTTCTTCAGCAGTAGCTCGCTTTAGGTATATTTTTATGGTAGGGGAAGGCTAGTATACATCAGTGATTGACTCTCTCTGAGCCTTTGTTTCCTCATTTGTAAAATGGGCATGATGGATACTTACCTCAAGAGGCTGTCATAAGTTCAAGAGACAAGTTATGACCAACAGCCAACCCAGCATGGGTGCCAGCGATCTGATGGCTGTGCTGATGATGATGATAACGATGACGACGATGACGTAGCAGCCCATTTTCAGCTCGCACCATCGGCATCACCGCCAGCATCAGCAGCATCATGGAGCTTTCCTCTTGCAGTGCATCAGCTTGGCACCCTCAGCAGCCATGCAGAGCCCAAGACCAAAATGCAAAGGGTGGCTCCAGGAAAGACAGGGCCCAAGGGGACACGGATGTAAGTAGAGTAAGCAGGGGCTCAGTGAATCCCCACAAATAGCGGGGAGACTCCTGGGCACGCCAGGGTGGGACCCACAGGCCAAAGTGCCCGTTCTATTCTGCAGCAAACCTCCTAGAACCAGAACACCTTGAAGCTCCTCCCAAAATGTCCTATCTGCCCAGAATTATCTTGAATGATTTCAAGGACACTCACGGTCACAGTCCTCACCTGGGATGGGTCCAAACCTGAGAGGTCACAGATGGTGATCTCTCCTTACATGTTACAGACAGTTGGTGAATCATTTACAAGTCATCTTCAAATCCATCATCTTTGTGGGTATGGTAGGAATTACATGCGTGACTTGAGGCTGCGGATGGGAAACTGGGGATGGGACATAAATGGTTTCCCTGAAGTGCCGTAGCTTCACAAAGACAGAAACAGGTCTCATCCAGACTAGGACTGACTAGATGCATGCGAGAAACCAGACCTGAGAAGACCTTCCTGCCCAAAAGAGAGAGAAAAGCATCTCCAAGATCAGAGCATCCTGGTTAAGTTTCTGGAGTCCAGTCTGCCGTACCTTAGAAGAGAGGATGGCAGACCAGAGGGAACCCACAGTCACATATGTTTAAAGTAAGGAGGGTCCCACGAGAGCTCTGGTGAAGAAGTCTTCAAAGTGCTGAACTTGAATCTTGCCAGCAGAACTCCTGACGGCTTGTCATAAACAGAACTCTCAGGCCTCCCCCTACCTCAGACCTACTAAGACCACATCTCTGTGGGTGGGATCCAGGCACCTGCCTTTCTAAAAACCCTCCTGGGGACAGCACATTGAATTTTGAAATTTTCCCACACTAAATCTGATGCTAAAACTGAGGCATATTTCTCTCCAGGTTTATGGGGAAGCGAGTCTTTGGAAAGGGTTAAACAGAAGTTCCAGGCAAATTCCATCAGGTTGACAGAGCTAAGTTTTCAAACCACAATTTCACCCTCAAAGCTGGGTACATAATTTTGACACCTTAGGACATCAAGGGCCACCAGTGATGGTGGAAGCTGTGTAGTATCTTTCGTGAGGTCAAAGGTCAGAGTGGGGGCATGCCTGTCGGGCTAAACTCAGTATAAGTGGGCATGAATTTGCTTCGGTTGGGGACACCGCCACCCAGCAAGTAACAGTGCCTTGTAGATCTGCTATTCATTATGACCTCATTCATACAGCAACAAATGTGACAGTTCTGCCCAGCATCTGCATCCAAGATGTGAAGAGCCCTCCGATCACAACTTGATCTGTCAGACAGTTGTGCTCTTGAGTTGGTCAGCATCTTCGAACACTGCGTTCTGTCCATGAGAAAGAAGTGACCGCATGCCAGGACTTGACATACAAGCACGCTGTTCACCAGAACCCATGATTCCCATCATATGCTGTCAGGTGGGCCCGTTTTTCTCACTGAGCAACATGGCAGTGAACATTCTAAGTTTTAACTGACAGGCTGGCTCCTTTGTATGAAATCTGTTACTACTATCTGTTTTGTGGGGGGACATTCTGCGGCATTTCATTTTAGAATTGATTAAGACTTTTATCACATTTAACTTTGTGTGTGTGTATGTGTGTGTGTTGGTCAGAGGACAACTTTTAGGAGTAGGTTCTCTCCTATCTGCCTGTCAAGTTTGAGGACTGAAGGTATATGTCGCCATATTTAGATGGGTCCTGGAGACTGAAAGCTGCCGTCGGGTGTGGTGCCTACTGAGCCAGCTTGTCAGTCTACTTCTTGTCAGTTTTTGAACTGGTGGGAAACTGTTATCTCAGGCCAACCTTCTCATGTCAGAGAATGACAGATGCTTCATGAGGTCACAAACCTCAGTAAGTATCATGCTAAGCAGGAAAAAAACAGATGCAGAAAGACAAACACAGTGCAGCATCATGGGCATGAGGGGGGCTAGGGTGGTTACGGGAGGGGGGGCTGGATGGTAGGTAGCAGAGAGGTTGGTCGAAAGGCACAAAGTTCCATTAAGACAGGAAGGATGAATTCTGGAAATCTGAGTCTGAGGTACTGCAAGATGATGCTAGTTAAGAGCAACTACTGAAGGCTTGAAATTTGCTAAGTTGCACATGCATGCGCAGTGTGTGTGTGCATGTGTGTGTGTGTGTGATATGTGTGTGTAGAGGGGTGTGTGTGTGATATGTGTGTGTGCATGTGTGCAGAGGTGTGTGTGTGTGTGTGTGATATGTGTGTGTGCATATGTGCAGAGGTGTGTGTGTGTGATATGTGTGTGTGTGTGCAGAGGGTTGTGTGTGTGATGTGTGTGTGTATGTGTGCAGAGGTGTGTGTGTGTATGTGTGTGTGATATGTGTGTGCATGTGTGCAGAGGTGTGTATGTGTGTGCATGTATGCAGAGGGTTGTGTGTGTATGTGTGTGTGATATGTGTGTGCATGCGTGCAGAGGCCAGAAGTCAATGTCTGGTCTCTTCCTCAAATGCTCTCCACTTTAGTTTTTGAGATGAAGTCTCTTCCTGAACCCGGAGCTCAGCACTTCTGTTAGCCTGGCTGTCAGTGAGTGCCAAGGCTCCTCCTGTGGCCACCACCCCAGCACTGGGACTACAGGCACACCCCACCCCACCCAGATGTGGGTGCTGGGGATCTGAACTTGGCCCCTTGAGTTTGGATGCCAAGTATCTCATTGACTGGGCCTTCTCCCTATCCCCATTAAGACATATTTTAAAATGTTCTCATGAGAAAAAAAAAATTAAGCCTGTGAGGTGATGGGTATGCTAATTAGCTTGATTATGGTAATCAGTTCACAATGTATGTTTATATCCAAACACCCTGTTGTGCACCTTCAACACACAGTTTTTGTCCGTTGCTTGGGGAAGAGGATGCAGAAGACTCTGAGGACCCTTTGACTACAGGCTTTGGCTTTCCAGTGTTGACTCATGGATGCATGTGACTTTCTGTGTTTCCTGTAGCAGAGTGGTGTTCCTACCATGAAGAATATTTTTATATTGCCTAGGAGAAAATACAGAATGAAATTTAAGATGTACCATAGCCAGTTTTCCATTTCCATAGATTTAGTATTTATTATTTGTGTGTGGAGGGGGCTTGTGGGTTTCATGGTCTGCCTATGCAAGTCAGAAAGCTACTTTATGGAGATGGTTCTCTCCTTCCACCTTTGTGTGAGTCCCAGGACTGAATTTAAGTTGTCAGGCTTGCATGACAAGAGCCATTGCCCACAGAGGCATCTCTAGGGCTCCCAATTTGCCTTTGTAAAAAAAGATAAAGTCCTCCTACGTAGCCCTGGTTGGCCTGGAACTCACTATGGAGACCAGGCCTTGAACTCACAGATCTGTCTGCCTCTGCCTATCAAATGTGAGGATTGAAGATATATGTGTCACCATATCTAGCTAGTTTTCCTTTTTTTTAAATTCCGATTAGGAATCCTGGGATGGTTCAAGTCATAGCAACTGAAAGGAGAATGGGAGAAACGGGAGCTCAGATGTCATATGTCCAGTTTCAGATCTACAAAATGAAGACGTTCAGAGGGTATTGGGGACTTAATGACAGTAAACTGTGTGTACACTTAAAAATGGCTAAGATAATTTTATGTTTATTTTACCACATTGGTTTACTAAACAGCCATGGTGTCAAACTGCTTTCTAAATATTCATGGTAGAGGGCTAGAGAGATGGTCAACAGTTAAAAGCACTTACTATTCTTGCAAAGGATCCACTTTCAATTCCAAGCACCCACATGGTGGCTCAGAACTGCCTGTAACTCCAGTTCCAGGGGGTACAGTGCCCTCTTCTGGCCTCTATAGGCACTGCACACAGATGCACACATACACCGACACATACACGATTAAAAATAAATCTAAATATTCATGTTTACACTCATATATTAGTGCTATTCTCAGCCTGAGTCAGATAAGTTTCTTTTTGTAGAAGACAGCGGTTAATGCAGAGACAAAAAAAACTGTACAAAGTGCCAAGAATAGGTAGGTGACCACTGAACAATCAGCCTTAAACCGAACATTCAAGGCTCAGGGAACATTGCAAGAGAGTGGACAGAGACTGTGAGAGCTGGGGGATGGGCAGGAATGCTGTGCAATGCCGTGCTCTGGACTTGCCATGCCCACTGCACTCAGGAGCTCACAGCAGCTGTGGCTACTTGCACAAGACTAGGTCCACCACTGTTCCAGCACAGACGGGGAGGGCAGTCATGAGGCCCCACTTCTCTCTGAAGAGCCATAGGCAGTTGATGGCTGCTGGAGGAGGAAGGAGAGAGACTGCAGCCATGAGTAAACTGCTTGTGCCCCAGTCAAATTCCATACCAATGCTCTGTAAGCAATCTAATTAAATACAGCAGGACAGACGTGTGTGTGTGTGGGGGGGAGGGACTACCTGGCAAGGTTCAACAGGATAAGGAGAGGATAAGAAAAGATAATGGGGGAATATTACCAAAGTACTTTATATACTTATATATGTATGACGTTGTCAAAGAGTAAGTTTTTAAACTCTTAAAGAACTAGCCATAAGGTAACAAAGAGGACCCTAAGAGGGATGTATGAATTGTCCTGGGAAGGGGAAATAGATGAGATCTCCTGAGTAAACTAGGGGTAAGGGGGGTAATAGAGGGTAGAGGATGGGGGATGAAAACATAAAGGAACAGGATGGTCAAGCCAGAACAGGGACGGAGTGGGAGAGCAATGAAAGAGACATCTCGATAGAGGAAGATATCACGGGGATAGGGAGAAATCTGGTGCTAGGAAAGTTCCTAGGAATCCACAAGGATGACCCCAGCTTAGACTACTAGCAATAGTGGAGAGGGTGCCTGAGCTGGCTTACTCTGGTAATCAGATTGGTGAATACCCTAACTGTCATCATAGAGCCTTCATCCAGTAACTGATGGAAACAGATCCACAGCCAAGCACCAGGCTGAGCTCCAGAAGTCCAGTTGAAGAGAAAGAATGGGATTCTATGAACAAGGGGCATCAAGATCACAATGGCAAAACTTAGAGATACAACCGAACCAAGCTAGTGGGAACTCATGAACTTTAGACCAATAGCTGTGGAGTCTGCACAAGACTAGACCTTAGACCTTCTGCATAAGTGAGACAGTTGTGTAGCTTGGTCTGTTTAAGGGGCTCCTGGCAGTGGGATTAGGATCCATCCCTGGTGCATGAGCTGGCCTTTTGGAGCCCATTACCTATGGTGGGACACCTTGCACAGCCTTGATGCAGGGGGGAAGGTCTTGGACCTGTTTCAACTGAATGTACCAGGCTTTGCTGACTCCCCATGGGAGGTCTTACCATTTTGGAGGAGGGGATGGGAAGTGGGATGGGGGTGGGGAAGCTGAGGGATGAGAGAGGGTTGGTATGTAAATCTGTGGTTGGTATGTGAAATGAATAAATGAATAAAAATTTTAATGAAGTTCTAGCCATAATTGCAGCAACTGTAGGCTAACTGTCACTAACAACACAACCCCAGGAACACATAGGTGGGAACCTTCCTTCTTACCCTTTAAAGGCTTCTGGGTGATGCTGAAGGACCCCATTTCACAGATGGGAACACTAAGCTTAGAGGAGCCCACTGCCCTGCTGATGAGGCTGTCAAAGGCAGTCCTGTCATACCTTGAAGCTACTCTTCTGGAGGGCTGCACTGCACAATCCACTCTACCACACTGCCCTCTGTCACCCTCACACCCCATGCCAAGCAGCAGCCAGGCAGTAACAATGTTGAGCTGGAAAGATCCTGGTGGGAAGGTCTTGATTCTCTGTGGCCTGTGAGGCTTGAGCTCTGTTCTTCCCTGGCGGGTCATATTACATATCATGCCTTTGGCAAGGAGGCAGCCTTCCCTGTGTCTTAACCATATGCCTACCACTCTAAAGAAATGGGTTGATTAGGACACGTGCCCTAGAAGGGAAGTTCAAATCTCACCCCACTCTGCAGAAGCTTTTCCATCCCTCTGCTTCCCCAGGATCCCCGTGCCCCTTTGATGAAATTAAAGACTGGCAAAAATCCCATGCTGAGGCCTCTTAATATGTATTTCAGTATCAGAGAGCAAAAGTATTGTCTTAGTTCAGGCTCAGTTGTTATAACAGAATATCTGAGGCCGAGTCATTTATAAAGGAGAGAGATATGTTTGAGGAGATTGTTCCAGGAGCATTGGTGCTGACAAGGGCCCCCTGCTGCTCTCATTCGTGATGTGAAGATGAAGAACGCCAGGCAGGCATGCCAGAGGCAGGACGCTATATCAGCTTCCCTTTAAAATAACCCATTCCTGAGGTAACTGGTCCAGTCCAGTGAGAATGAATGCAGTTCTATAAGAAAGGCACTGACCTCTCTCTCCTAAGAACCTTCTCTCCTCTTAGAGGTCCTACCTTTCAAAGAGTCCACAGTGGTAATCAGATCTCATCCTGCATCTCAGAAAGGATAAGCCATTTTCTAACTAGAGCAGGTAAGAACTGGGGGGTGGGGAGGGAGGGGGAAGAGGCTGAATCGTGTCTTCTTGTTCCAGACCTTATTGCGCTCAGACTTAAGTAAGATCCGAATTGTAGGTGTTGCCGTTAGGAAGTGCTGCTGGCTGGGAGGATCCACGCTCCCAATCACACCTTGCTGTACCCGCAGAAGAGGTGGAAAGGAACAGGGAGGGTCGGAAGCGTCTCTGAAAACCCGGTGACTTTGAAAGCGTTCCTGAGAGCCACCTGTATCCTTGTGACTCAGATCCGCAGGCAAGCAAGCAGGAAGCAAGTGCGGAGGCAAGCCAGCTGGATTCGGGGTGCCAGACAGGCAGCAGGAAGCATGGCAGACCGGGCCCCACCTCTCAGGAAGAGCAAATTGCGGTCGTGGGTGGAAGACAACTCACCAGTATGGAAGCAGTAAGAAAATTCCAAAGCTGACAACCTCTGCTCTTGAATGGGCACCGGGTGGTATGATAGGGTGAACGGGGTCTGAACCCAACTTTCCCATGTCCGAGTAGTCTCTCCCTTACCCCTGAAAACTGCTCTAGAGACCTGGGGGGGCCCAGTGCAAAGTGTCCATAAGTTCAGCACGCAGGGCAGTTGGGTAGCCATGGAGTCATGTAATCTTGAGATGGCTTTCAATCAGCTCCTGGGAGACAGTACTGCCCATTGTAGAGGTTCCTCAGGGCTATGTCCAGGCTGCGTGGACCTGAAGATGCTTTAGAAATAGGTTGGTGGGGACAGCTACTGAGTGTCTGATGTTCTGGATGCAGGCTACAGGCAACAGCAGGGGAAGGGTCCTGACTTTCTGGGTCATTCAGGACTCTCTAAGAGGCCCATGGACTTTAGCATATAGGCTCCATGTCCTAGTGGTATCCCAGCCCGCTTGGGTGAGCCCTGGGTGGTATTTTTGACTGTCCATCCTGGGCCAGCCCGGAGATTCTGCTTCGTTTCCTTCTGGTCTGCATCCACTGCTCAGTCCCTTGCTTGCCTCCAATATATTCCTTGCTACTAAAGCAGCTGGCTATTCAGGTGCCCTATGGCCACAAGTTGCAGCTTACATCATGAGAACACAAGGCATCCATCAGGGCAGGATCAGGACAAGTCCTGTGTGTGTCCCCTTGACAAGTGTGTAGCGTCACCAAGCAGGCAGATGTGGTCAAGCCTCAGTGCTAGAAACATCTGTGAGGGGAAGTCTGGCTTTGTGGCACCTAGGAGGCCTCTCTGGTCCAGGTGCTGTATTTTCAGGTGTCCTATTCTTGGAAAAGCCTTACCTGGAGATCTGGTGGCTGGGAAGACCTGTGGGATGCCTGGAACCTTCTAGAATCACCCCTGTTTATTCTTGCTTGGGGAGGAGCTTAAACTGGATCAGGATTGGACCCACAGGAAGTTCCAAGCTGTCTGGTGGGGCCTTTTCATTTAGTCTTTTCAAGCGCAGAAACACATGTCTGAGTGCATGGCTCATATGCACATGGTACCTGTTGATGGGGGTGGCAGAGTCAGGATCCCCCGGGGTGGTCCCATCCTGAGAAGGGGAAGGATCAAAAACCTCAATCTTAAGAGGCTGAAGGTCCCAAATCTTAAGGGGATGAAGGGTTGAAGGCCCCAGTTTCATGAAGCTAAAGACCCAAACCTTAAGGGGATGAAGGGTTGGGGACCCCAGTCATGTGGGGCTGGTTCAAGCCGAGTGACCCATGAAGTCTCTCCTGGAAGTCAGAGATCAAAACAAACAAACAAACAAACAAACAAACAAACAAACACAACCAACCAACCAATCAAAAACAAACAAAAACCCAACACAACAAAAACTAAACAATGAAACAGAGTGGCATCCAGTAAAAGTGACCCCTCCGGGGTCAGCAGGTCAAGGCTTGGGACCTCACCTCCTGGGAGGGAAACGCTAGTGCTGGCAGTGAACACACTGGGCTGCTAGACCCAAAGGGCGTCTAGAAATGGGTGAGAAAACAGGAAAGCAAAATGCGACCCAACTCTTCGGGCTGAGCTCCCTATGTTTAGAAGCTCGTCTGGAATCAAGAGGAAAGCCCAGCAGGCACAAGCCGGGGCACAAGGGCAGCACCCACTGCAGAGCAGTAGAAAGAACATTCTCTGTTCTATTCTGTGCCTCAGTTTACCCTTGTCAGAAATCATACTGCTTTTGCCATCAAGACATGACCCCTCTGCCAGCTAAAACCTTGGTCCACTCACACTGGTTATTACTATTCACCCGCAGGTTGTCAGTCAGTCTTGGTATGGTTATTACTATTCACCCGCAGGTTGTCAGTCTTGGTAAGGGACCTCAGGTGAGCTCCCCAACCTCTGAGAGTGCTAGCCTGACATCAACAAGTCCTGGGTCCAAGGCAACAAGCAAGTCTGAGTGACCGGGGAGCACCACCAGGTCCACAGAGAACCCGAGCACCACCATGGAGTTCAAGTTCACCGTGGGCCACCATGTCCTCCTCATCATGTCACTTGTCTCCCAGGCCAGTTCTCCCCATCTAGGTCAAGTACTGGGAAGAGCAGGAAGGACAGTCTAAGAGACACTGGCTGGGGCAGCCTAGAACTTGAGGAAGACCTGTGAGAAGGCAGGCTTGATGAAACTCCCCTGGCCACATTAACACTAACTCTAGGGACTTTCACGTCACTCCGCCTGTTCCACACTCAGCCACAGTAGGAGAGTTTGATAAATGGGGCTAAGGTGGTGGGGGAGAGGGTTCATTTTCTTTCCAAAGTCCCTGCCACCCTAAGGAAGCCAACTATCCACTCCATCCTCCCTGGGGTCGCCCACTACCCTGCTGGCAGCTGGGATGAATCCATCAATCACAGCTGAGATCAATCCCGGATCCTCTCACACTAATTAGACAGATATCCCTTCCTCCTTCCCAGACACGGAAATAAAAGATTCATGGGCAGGAGGGGGGCAGCGTGCAGAAACTCTGGGGAGGCCCAACTCAGGAGCCTCCTCCCAGTAGGCGCCATCCTCCTGCCCCCACTCCCTCCCTGTCACCCCCCCCTTTCTTCCTCTTCCTTGTCTCCCAGAAACAGATGAGCCTGATTGACCAGGCAGGGCTAGAATTTATCAATGGCTTGTTCTGTCTGGAAACGACTTTCATTGATCAAATCTATTTCTAGCCTTCTGGTCCTGAGAATTCCCACAGGGACCAAGATCCACTTACACAGCCCTGTGGATAAAAATAAAAACATCCCCCAGTCCACAAAATTTCATTTTCCCCTTTGGTTCCTTCTATTAAATACCGCCCCCACCCCCACACTAGGGAAATGGAAGCAAAGCAGCCCACTAGGTGGATGGGGCCTCGTGTGTGTGTGTGTGTGTGTGTGTGTGTGTGTGTGTGTGTGTGTGTGTGTGTGTGTGCGCGCGCCATAGTGCACATGGAGGTCAGAACACAACTTGGGAGCAGGGAGTCAGTTCTCTCTCTGTGAGTCCTGAGGCTGGAGCTCAGGCCATCAGGCTTGATGGCATGTTTTTTTTTTTGGGTTTTTTTTTTTTTTTTTTTTTTTTTTTTTTTTTTTTTTTTTTTTTTTTTTTTTTTTTGTTTTTTTTTTACACACATTGAGCCCTCTCACCAGCCCGGAGGGAGCTATTCTCTGGGACTCTCTGCTCACTAGAATTCAGTGACCTCAACAGTGTATATACACTGGGCTTTCTAACACACATGGACATGTGAGTGTCAGATGGTACACAGGAAATATTGAACTTCGGAACCGTAGAGCCACAAAACGTGTGGGCTAGCTGCACGCTGTTTCTTCTGTAATTCTTTGAAAAGTTGCAATATACTGCTTCACGAAGAACAAGTCATGGTGAGAATGTCATGTGGGAAGTCAAGGGGTCCAACTCAAAAGACAGGACTAGTGTTAGGAGGGCAGCCCCTGGTTACATGTGAGAGAAGGTGTACCCGCCTCCTCTGGATATGGCCTTTCCCAATGGGCCCAGGCAAGTCACATCAGGAAGTGAATGGCGAGCAGGGCCAGAGGGGGAGACAAACAGCTCAGAGTGACTCAGTCTTAAACTCTCCAATTATGACAACCAGAAGCTATGAGACCCGACAGTGACACTCAGCTGACAGGCTCTATTACCTTGAACAAGAAATTGCTTCAAGGACCAATGTCCAGGTTGTACGCTGCTTCAGTCTGGGCACTGCCTATGGTTGCTAACACTATAGACATATACCAACCTCATCTAGAGCATGTGGGTAGGTGCAGGGATTCCAGGCTTCCAGGCCAAGTCCCTCAACTGCAGGAGAGGTCCCTGGTCCTGTGAACCTGTCTGGAACACAGGCAATCCCGCTCTAGAATGGGCCCGTCATCACCCATAATCCCTGCCTGTCCTTTAGGAAGCCTAGTATCTGTCCACACTGAAGGGGACAGCCCGGTACCACTGCCTCACCTTACAAGTGGGCGAGAAGAAGGGTAGAGGACATGGGGTGATAGAGCATGCTGTCACTAGAGGGTGAAAGACAGAGTGGGGACAGCCAGGGCTTCTGCCCAGTAGAGCCCTGAGAGCCCCAAGTATGAGTGCCTAGTATGGGACAAACACCCTAAGATATGCAAAGGCCCTGGGGCGCCAGGTGGAAGCCTCAACTGGGGCCCAGCTGTTTCCTCACTGTAGATGGTGAGTGCCCAGGGGCAGGCTGGGAGCCACAGGGAGGTGGATGGCAGCACCCAGAGGTTTTGCTGGGGTGGTTGTGGGAGAAGGCACCAAGGGCACAGCTGCTCCTGACAACTGATAAGGCAGTAGGACACTCTATCCAAGGGGGCAATAGAGAGGCGTATGGGGCACTGGAGTGTGAGAGAGGGACCGGGATCCTTCCTTATAGAATTAGGACAAGTGGGGGACTCAGAGTCAAGGATCCAGATGGGGCCAGCAAGTAAAAATGGCCAGAGATTGTGATGGAGCTCCTGTGGGCTGGATCCAGGACTCTTCCTGTAGGTGGGCCGGCGTGGGAAGCCATATGGGTAGAGGTGATGAATGAGGTCGGGTCTCGAGGGTGGGGAACTGGTAATGAGATCCCGAGAACTAGAGTCTGGCTAAACTGCGCTGATGAAACCAGGCCTTGAAGGCTTTGGAGAGGCTAGCTAGGGCACTTAAGGCTCAGCTCTTGTGGGGGATGAATGCAGATGGCTTCTCCACATGAGACCTCTACTCCATGTGACACATGACAACCCCATGCCATACACTAAATAGCTTCCGCTGCCACCAAAGGGCATCTGCATTTCTACAAGCTCTTGGGTTCACCAGAGTAAACACTGGAGGGACGACATTGCCTTACAGACAGGCGGCAGCATTGTGGCACCGGGAGTCTATGGTCCAGGGAGTGACCAAAACCTTGAGGGACAAGATAACCTCTGTCCTGCCCAGCCCTGGGGCCATGGGTCACACAACCTCCTGTTAATATAGTATTTCTTCCATATGTTTCTCCATGCAATGTTCCAGCCAAACACAGGAGAGCGACAACCTCGCCGGAAATCCCCACTACCTGCGGCCTGTTGTAGTCTATTCATGTTATCAGCTTCCCCTGCTGGATGCCCACACAGGAGGGCTCTTGGACAGACAGAGGCCAACTTTAGGAGGCATCTTGCAGTATGCATCTAACTTAGGGAGGCAGAGCCAAGCTCAGGCCAATTCCCATTCCCAGGGCATTGCCACAAGATTTTTATTTACACATTTGCCGGGAAGCTCTTGTCTACACTGATTGCTGCAAACACATTTCTCACAAGTTCCCCCATTTCCTCATCTCCTCTCCATGCTCCACATGGCTGAACTATTGAGTCCCCTGACTGCTCAAATATGCCAGGTGCTCACAAGCTCTTCTGAGAGCCACTGGGAATACGTGCTATGTGGTCATATATGTGGGGCACGCTGAGAGTGGGCACATGCTTCTCTGCGCATCTTGTCCCTTGGTTTAAAGACACCCAGCTGCTCTGAGGTGATGTCCATTGGGGAAGGACATCCTGGCCCAGCTTCCAGGGAAGGCAGGTGGCTCGAACCTCTGAGCTCCAGAGTCTGAGTGGCCCACAAAAAGAGACATGAGCGTGACCTAATATGACAATACTTTTGGCAATCGCTCAAAACTCCTTGCACTCATTTCTTCTTTTGCTTTACCCCTTTCCCATGCCAGCCAGTGGCCTAGGCATGAACCCTCACTGCCCTTCATTAGTCTCCAGGCAGGAGACGAAGCAAGAGGGTGAATTCTCTGTGACCCTCACCAGCCCCCCTCATGTACCCCTGGCTCACTTTCTCCCTGCCTAGGACAGCTCTGGCTCACAACCTAGGGCTGAGGTCTTGTCTCCCCATCTGATCCTTGTGCTCTCCTTTCCCACCGCTGGTTACTATCTGGCTCCACCCCTTTCACTCCTGAGATCAGCAGCTACCTTAGCATCCTGACCATGACTCACCTGGATGCTCAAAAGCCTCCTCACACCCCTAGAGTCATGCTGATCCTGGGAAGCCGTTCCCGCTTTCTCTCCATGCTAAACCCAGAGCAGCGATAACCAACTGCTCGGCACGAACCCCCATCCTGTTCTGTCATTAGCACCTCTCAATCGCTCTGTCTCCCATCACCTAAGTTGCACATGGGAGAGATTTCTGTTCTTTCCTTCACTGGATGAACATCAGCAGGGTCTGGCACATAGTAGAAGCTCAAAAACCACATGTTTTTTTGAATTAAATTTTTTAATTAAATGAAGAAATGAGTGAAGGAGAAGTGGCCGTAGTCCAGTCATGCCAGTGTTTGCTCCACATCACATGCCCCATCCCAGCACATCCGCATGGCAGTGGTGGCTGGCACAGAGCTGCTGCTGCGCACAGCCAGGGGGACCATCCAACTTCTCTGCTTTTGTATTAGCCACCTCCTCTGCCCTCCCACCTCCACCTAGCGGGCTCCTCCCCAGCCTTCAAAACCCACTGTACTGTTCTCTCCTCTGCAAAAATTTAGATCCCCTCACACACTCAGGAAGAGCACCCTTTCAGCCCCTAACAATGCCGGCCTGCCCTCTGGGGTGCTCTCAGCGGAGGATGAACTATGTATGATACATTACAAGCGACCCTTCAGTTACCGCTCACATTCCTCCTGTCTTTACAACTGTCCTTCCAAGACAGGAACTTTCACTTAGCAGACAGGAAATGGCCTCAGAGCCCAGAACTCCTGCACAGCCAATCATGCAGGGAGGTGCTGCCCCAGCTTGCCAAGTTCCATGCCCAGGTCTGTCCATCTGGTCAGCCCACCTCACCTCCTATCCACACAGGAAGAGGCTGCCTCGGGCTAACACATGCCTGGCACAGCTACATTTTCTTTCACCTACTGACAGAGGCAGTAACTACTTCCCAGGCATGGGCACGCTGCCACAGCACTACCCAGCTGAACTGCATCACAATGGAGGGCCGTGTTCGTCCCAGTCCTGAGAAGGGAAAGCTCACTGGAATCAAAGGGGGGATTAGAAAGGCAGGGAGAGAGATGGGAGAAAACGAGGGAAGAAAATAAGGAGGAAGGAAGGAAAGGCTGAAAGGATAGAGGGAGGCCGGCAAGCAGGGAGGAAGACATAAACAGGAGGCATGCCCTAAAAGAGAGGAGGGAGGTGTCTCCCTTTCTAGGCCTCCTCGCCTTCTCCCCTGGGCCCCAACTGGGCGCCTCTGCTTCACCGCAGAGCCTGGAGCCTGCCTGTCTGTTCTGCTTCCAGGGAGGCCCCACCCAGTGGGCAGCTGCAGAGCCATCTGCTGCGAGGGCGGTGGCAGCACTAGCGCCAGGGTTTGTTTACAAACTGGGCGCTCCATGTTGGGGAAACATCACACCTCTTCCAGGCATCGTGCAGGTGGGAAGAGGGATCAGTGAGGACCATGGTGTGCAGACCGAGAACCAAGACCAGTGCACAGAGTGGAGCCCTTATCACCTGGTCACAGACCTTTTCACATCTCGCACCAGCAAAGGTGTGGAGGTCCACAGTGGGTTCATATGGCACTCTGGCCAAGGTAACCATATCTATAAAAGGGCTTGTGAAGGATAAAACCAGGCGACACTACTGG